TATCCATAATAAAATAATATTTATAGATACTTATTTATAATAAAATTAATCGATGGTTAATTCAACTAATATAATTAAAGCAAAAATTTTTTTTAAATTGTACACTTTATTATTTCTAATTTTTTCCATATATTGAACAAAAAAATTCGTAATTTTTATCTACAATTAATAATGAATTAATATGATAAATATTATTTCATAAATTAATCGATCAACAAAATTTTAAAACGAAATTATTCTTATTTTTTGTACATATTCAGTAACAAATTTTCTAAATACATTAACTGAATATATTATTAAATAATATAGACTATTTGTTTAATAAATATTAAATTAATCGAAATTTAAATTAAAGTCGCTTTAAAATCACAAACTCATTCCATTTTCCCTTGTCTCTCTTTGTATGGCATAGTAATAACGAATACCATTAAATATTTATTTGAAGATTCTATTCATCGATTAATACGAATTTCCGTAGATATTCCCACGGGTAATAATACGAAGCGTAATCACTATCGTGCCGTACGAAATTCGATTGAGTTCGCGACGTTGCGTCGCACACCGAGCATGCGCCCGTTAAAATCTCTACAATAAACACGATCGTCGAGCGCGCGGGTGTTTTTATCGGTAGCACACAGTACACGTGATGCCATCTAACAATGATTTCTGTAATTTCTTAAGGAAACTCTGTCGATAATACAGGCTGGTTATTTACCGACAGTGACATTGCACGGTTCAGATTGTCGCGAACCGCCGTTATTTATCAGTGCTCTTATTTGTTGTTTATCTTGCGGCTCTTGCCATCAAATTTGGCGGTTAAATTTTCAAAGCCTGGATGACAGATAACCTATGACAATCTGATGATTTATTTTTACGATGCTGGGCACTGCCGGAATAACTGCTGTACACGTTAAAAAACTTGGTAAGGGATATAAAAGGAAATAATTGGTTATTTTGAAAAATTTGATATGAACATATTTCTATTTTCTCGTTACTTTCACATTTCTTTTGCAGGCCACACTATTGAAGAGATACGACTGCGAGCTCTGGATAATATTATTTCCAAGTATGATTTAGGTTTTGTTTGTGATTGCGACGCTGTCAAGAAAGAGATAATCCAGAAGCTGTTTAATTGGTTTTCATTCGAGACTGCACCACAGGCAGAGAAAGTATTGAATTTGTTATTGTGGCTTTTAAAGGTATTTAGATTATCTTGTTGATGATTTGTGATTAATTTGAAGATCAGGAAAAATCTAATACTTTTTTAATGTTTGTTAATTGAGTTTAAAATGAGATATTTCCGATATAAAAGAATCTATTTTAAATAGTGTTTTAAATTTTTGTAAAATTTTTTTTATTTTTTAAATTTCAATATAAATAACTCTTTATTTTGATTAATATCATCTTTGCTTCAAGGCAGATGCAAACAGTTATTTGAATGCATTCGGCAAGTTGAAGTTTCAAAATGAACTTTACGAATTGAGGCGAAACCTCTCTCCTGAATGGTATGCAAAATTAGATGAAATTGAACAAGTTATTCTGCATTTAGAAAAGAGTCGGGTAAGTGTATCAAACATGTGTATTAAAATATGACAATAGTTGTGTATTAATATTTTATATATATTAGAAATATAAAGATAATCATTACCATTGCAGGATGTTGCCACAGAATTTGATAGACATAGAACACGAACACAAAATTATATTAGATATAAGAATAAGGATTATGAAAGAGAAGATTATGATAATTTGAACGATATTGTAAATCTGCCGTCTATCTTGGACAAGTAAGAATTAATATAGATAGAATAGCAAAATTGTTATTGAGTACGCATTATAAAAATTAGGATTTTTTTTCAAAAAGATATGCGAAAAATTATTTTTTTCTTTTTCTTAAATAGCATACATGTATATTTTATGTATATTAGGTACATTTTATATATAAAATTTATATTGAATATATATTTGAATATATATTTTAATATATTGTGTAAATGTTTATAGTACTACACCATTTAATACAACATTGGATCGTGAGACTGGTATACGAATTTCCAAAACGATAGAAGGTGGTATTAAATGGCTCGTAATGCCATGGCAGCCGCTAGTTACATCGGACAAAGGAGTACTTACTGCAGTTGAAGAAGCTCTTAATAATATTATCGATATTAATCATATACTACATACTTGTCAGTTTATAACGAATGTTATGATGCAAGATTTTCCAGCAGAAGTTTTCCTTCAGCGACCTGCAATAATCACGGTAAATATTTTCTTTTAATGAATTATATATTTTAATGATAAATAAAACACATATGTATCTGTCTAAAATATTACAGATACTTCATGGTCTTCTTAACTCGAGCACTAACTCTAGTATGTCAGAAACTAATGTTACATGTATAGTTCCAACTGTGTTAAGAACTTTGCGTAAATTAACTCGGTCTCTAAGGTTTCGCATTTATTATTACTGTGAACCATGTGTGGCAAATAAAAAACAAAAGGTATAATATTTAATATTTTATTTAATTAATACAAAAAGTTATATCTAATACAATCTTTTTATGTTTAATAATATAATGATTTATTGATTATTTCTTTGCCTGCTTATTTTTTTATATAGTTATTGGGCAGTAAGTTAGATAGCAATGTTTACACATCCTCAGAAGGTGGAGACGGTCCAGATAGTGGTCTGCCCGAAGCAAACTATCAAGCATATCAATCAGCAGTGAGTAATTTTTGATTTTAATTTCTTATCAAGTTTATCATTCTTTACATTTTTTTATTATAATGTTCTTGTTTAGGGGACTAGTGATAGAAGTCAAAGTATTAGTGAAAATATCGACGATTCTGTTTTACAGTTGCAGCAGATGCTTTTACCGATTTATTGTATAGAATCTTTGAAACACGTTCTTACCCAATTAAGCATTCCTATCGATTCCATATTTCCTCTACGAAACATCAAATATATTACGGATCTAACACATGAATTAGTACAATTGTTAACAATTTGTATAATGCCGAATATATGGCTCTGCAACGACGGTACGGCATCGAAGATAAACGATGATTTGAAAGCGTTATTCAATTTAATGGGTGAAGTGATGGAATATTTTGGAAGCTGCAGTAATGTCGATCACTTGAGGATAACATACTTGTATCTTACTACTATTATTATGAAGTTATTGAGCAGTATCGTACCATTAGAGTTAGCGAACGCTGTTATACCGAATGCTTTGAAAGCATCGATAACAAATGCTGTGATGGACGCACCAATATATCTATTGTATCCAGCGTTGCATTCCATACTTTTAGAATATGCTCGTGTAAGTAATTCAAATCTTTTTCTTTTTATTCATTCATCGATATCGCCGATAATTTTTAATAATCTTTCTTTTTGTAGCAATTTCAAGACTCTAATCAAACAGCATCGGTAAAATTATATGATGAAACTAGAACCGTTGCAAAATCTTTGCAATCAGCTATTTATATATTAAAAAATTTATCGGAGCAATCACCTTCGGAAACGTTAAGAATGTTACATGCGTCTAAATTGAGTCTCTCGTATCATAAAAATTTAATCTTCGTTAAAACTGCTATAAAATTTTTACAAGATATCCCGAAATATTCTTTAAATGATGAGGATTGTGCTTTGGCAACAAAACTGATATTGAATTTATTAGCAAATGCTGATATAGACATTCGATATACCACATATGTCGAATGCTACATTCTGATTAAGAGTATTCTGGGGATAGAATATAATAAATTATCATGGGAAAATTTGATATTTCTTCTTGAACCCAATGTCCTGACAGAAATTATTTCTCATGGTGCAAACAGTGAAGATAGCAAGGTAATGAAAAATTTTTTATCAGGCAGGTTTGTTCGAATATCCATTATTATATGTAGAGTTTTCGATTTCACAATTTAATTTAATTTTAATTTGATATGCAGATAAATGAAATGTCGAGAGACATGTTGGTATTTATACTGAAAGGAAAAATACAAATGGGCGAAACTGGATGGTTAAAAACTCTAGAAGCTCTTATTCCTGTATTGTATCTTTTACAATGTCACGCTGATACCTATACACCATTAGGACAATGTATAACTAAAATATTTGATCCCGATGTTTCCAATGATATACAGTTGCCCTTTCTTGAGGTGACTTAACTTTGATGATTTAACTTTATCAAAAACATTTATTCGTGGTCATTTGTTACGTGCTACGTTATTTTAAATTTCAGGTATTAAAAGGCAATTTAAGGTTTCTCTATTCATCAGATAATGATATTCGAGAAGAAGCATTATGTCGATTAATCTGGCTCCTTGGGAAGGAAAAGGATTCTGTCCAGAAATTGCCGCGCTTATCATCTTTACACGGCTTGCCTCTTAGTTCACTCTGTATATTTGAGCGTAAAAATTTTGTTAAGCGATCAGAAGGCAATTATCAGGTTATATATTTGTATTCAGAATATTTGAAAATTTTTTACAGTCTTGATGAATCATTTGGCAGGAAATTGTCCTTTATATTTTAAATTATTAAAATTAAAAATTAAAGTTAAAATGTTATTTTATATATATATAT